ATAATCTACTATTACATAATTTAATAAATTTCACCACATTTATTAATTAATTTTTTTACAAATATATGGTATACAATGTCATTGTTAATAAAAATTTTTTTTATCCATCGCATTCCATAATACACATCTAGTATAGACTAAGACCATATATACTTGAGATTATAAAAATGGAAGTAGACACCTCTTTCAAGATCTAGATATATAAATATCTTACTCAAGATGAATTAAAAATAGTTTTTTTTATATTATTGATCTTAATAAATGCAACTAATTCTTGCTATGAATGATTTTTTCATATAAGATGCACTTTAAAGTTACTAAAAGTTAGTGAAGACATAAAAATGTAACGTAATTAAAATTTATAGTATTGATATTGTATAGTTTTAGACAATTACATAATATTGGCGTTTATATTGCTAATGTGTTATATTTTTTATCAAACTAACTCAATATTTAAATTTAAGTTAAAGGAAAGTTATGGAAATAATATCATTAAATAGCTTGGGTAGTATAGAAATAAAGAAAAAGCTACTTGATATAATAAGAAAAGTTATAGAAAAAAACACTTGGACTCAATCTCATGCTGCGGAAAGATTAGGTATTGATCAACCAAAAGTGTCGCAGATTAAAAATGGTAAAATAGATGGATTCTCTTTAGAGAGGTTACTAGTATTTCTTAAAAAGCTCAACCATAAAATAACTATCACAATAGCGGAAGGTCAAGCATCAGAATCTGAGGAAAAGAAATTTAAGCAGGAAGCTGGGCATTAACTATAAAGTTGACGTTTTATTTACTTGTGGTACAATCCAGCATTTATTAAGTTAATAATATGCCAGAGTTTATTGTAGAAAAGTGTATAGAGCGGGTTGATAATCATTTTCAGTTAGTTTTATTAGCAAGTCAAAGGACGCATGATTTAAATACGGGAGCAAGCAATCCAGCTCAAGTAGTTAAATCTAAAGGGCGTAAAAATGTTGTAGTAGCCTTATATGAGATAGCGGAAAAAAAAGTATGTGTTCATGAGCTATTTAACTTGTTAATAGGTAGATGCAAGGAGTACATGAAGGGAAATACAGGTAACGCCTGTAATACCAATAAAGGTAAATTACAAGGTATTCAGAGTAGCGATACAGATGTTTAAGATATTAACAGAGAAGAGTCCTTGTAGTAGATATACCGCAAACAGTATTAATTTTGTTTGCGCGCCTAGAGTAAAGATACTACCTTAGGTAGGTATGTCCTATTTGAGCAAGAGCGTGATACCTTTTTTAGCATGTAACGTTCACTTTTTTTTCTTAGGCGCTAGCTTTAGCTACTAAAGATAACAGCTCTAAAGATATATGGATAACTTTCTTGCTTTAGATATATGAATAAAAGAAAAAATTTACTAACAATTTCAGATCTCACAATTTATGACATAAAAAATATAACTAAATTGGCTAACATATATCTTAACAAAGAAAGTGCTCATGATAAGATCTTAAAGAATAAAACAGTAGTTAACTTATTTTTTGAAAATTCAACACGCACACTTACATCTTTTGAAATAGCAGCGAAAATTCTTGGAGCAAATGTTGTAACATTACCGATTCAATCCTCTTCCATCAGTAAAGGGGAAGATCTAAAAGATATGATTAAAACATTAAATGCAATGAATTGTGATTTCATGATAATCAGACATCAAAAAAGTGGTATTATTAACACTTTTATGCACCATGTTAAAAGCTCGTTAATTAATGCAGGCGATGGAAGTAACGAACACCCCACTCAAGCACTGACAGATTATTTGGTAATAAGTAACTACAAAAAGCAGATAAAAAATCTGAAAATTGTTATATGTGGTGATATTCTGCACAGCAGAGTTGCGAGATCAAATATAAGACTCCTAAAGATGTTGGGAGCAACGGTAAATTTGGTTGCCCCACCAACTTTAACCTGCAAGCATTTTCCCGAAGTAGATAAAGTATACTATTCATTGAGCAAAGGTATAAAAGATGCTGATGTCATTATGCTCTTAAGATTACAGAAAGAACGCATGAATAACAGTTGTTTTACACCTTCAGAAAAGGAGTATTTTTATTTGTATGGACTTGACTCGCAAAAGTTATCATACGCAAAGCCAGATGTAATTGTGATGCATCCAGGACCAATAAACAGAGGAATAGAAATCGATAATAACGTAGCAGATAACGTGATTTTACAGCAAGTAGAATTTGGGGTAGCAGTGCGCAAGGCAATATTGCATTATTACAATTACCAATAAGTTATTATATACTTTAATCCGTAGCTATAAAAAAGAATCAAAGTGCATATAGCAGTAATGACTGGTGGTAAAACTAAAAAAATTGGTGTTTTTCTTATAAAGAAGTTCTGAGAAGGTTTAGAGAAAAAAGAGTTATAGATTATAGGTAAAAAATATAACGCATTCAGTAAAGTACTAGTAATTAATACTAAAGCTACAAATATAAAAAGTACTATCTTATCAGACTGGAAAACAGCCTGAAGAATAAATAATTTACTCCAAAAAGTTGGAGCCGGTGGAATTCCTATCATGGAGAATGCACCTATAGTAAATGCTGTCATAGCAATGGGCATGCTGCGTCCTATACCATGCATTCTATCTATGTACTTCTCTCCTGTTTTTGTTATTATGCTACCTTCAACAAAAAATAGAGTGATTTTTGCAAATGCATGGCAGATCAGCTGCAAAACTGCAACTTCGATGCTAAGCATATTAAATATAGAGGCAAATAGTATAATATATGAAAATTGAGAAACAGTAGAGTAAACAAGAAATTTTTTTAACTCTTTTTGTTTTAACGCTATCAGCGAGGTAGTAATAATAGTAAACCCAGCAGCATAAGAAAGCCATCCCCCAACAAACCAACTGTGCTTTACAAAACGTTGCAAATTATCAACGCCAAAGATGTACAGTATTACTTTTATAAGTATAAAAACTCCAGACTTTATAACAGTAACAGTATGCAAAAGTGCACTTACTGGAGTTGGTTTAACTACTGCCCTTGGCAACCAAAAATGTATTGGCATTAGTGCAGCTTTTCCGATTCCATAAACTAGAATAGCAAAACATACTGCGGCAAAAGCAGTGAGTGAAGTATCATATTTAAATATGCCATTATGCTGAAAATCTAAAGTATGAAATTCATTATATAACAACCCTATTACAGAAAAAAACAAGACTAAAGAAAAAAAAAATAATACTCCTAAGTAATAGCGTCCAGCGGTTATTGATTCATTACTTGAGTAATAGGTAATTAAAGGATAAGTGCTCATGGTTAGAAATTCATAGAAGATAAATGTAGTAAGTAAATCTCCAGAAAAAGCTATAAACATAGCACAGCTCATTGATATTGAAAGATAGCATAAAAAATTCGAGTAATTAGTGCCAGGATAGTTATTTTGCATGTAACATATTGTATATATACTAGTTAATATCCATAGGAATGATATTAATAAACTAAATATCATTCCTATTGATTCCATCTGTAGACTTATGTGTAGATTACTACCAAAATTTACTATGATAGCTTGATGATTATTTTCATACAGTAAAAACCAATAGGCGATATAAATGCATATAAACAGTAGTATAGAAGATGCAACAGTAATTCCGTTACTAACTTTTGTCCACCTACCAGTTAAAAAGATAGCTATTGCGCCTAAAAGGGGAATTAATGCTACTATTAATAAGTAACTGTTAGTTAAATAACTTTCATGCAAAAAAAATACTGAGAAAAGCGGGGCTAAAAGAATCAATAAGGTATAACTTATCATTTCTTGAGGGTAGCTCATCTCTTTGTTTAATAAATAGTAGAGCTGCGATTATATTTAATTTATTAAAAGCTGCCTACATTTTTTACTTGTGGTTAAAACAATGATCTTCTCTTTGAGAAAGAGTGTAGGCAGCACCGCCTGAAAATTTACAAAAGTATAGTGTGATAATAGGCCACTTGTAAAACCTACTTATGATGAAAGGAAGAGTATAGCTTAGTTGGGGAGTGTATTGACAATAATCAGAATAGCTT